TATTATGGGGATGTACATAAGAGTTCTTTCTTTACGGGAAATGAAATCTAATAAACCGATTGATCACTAACTTTCTCAGACTTCATTCAAACTCAATTTCACTTCAGTTTTGTGATGTATGAGATATTAATAAAAGATATTTGATGAATATTATTCCTGAAAAGTCAACTCCCGAAATTGATCAATGAGAATGAACGACAATAATAAAAATTTGTCAATTGTTGGAACAATATACAGTCCAGTCATAAATAGTTCCCTCCTCCTCTCAATACTTGAACGAGACAAGAAATTGAGGTAGGATACAATTTACGTCAAAAGGTATCATTTTCAGTAATTTTTCATTAGACAGACGATAGTGTTTGTTTCATCACTTATTAACAAGATGAAGCTAGTAACTTTCTTTTCAAATGAAAAATGGGTTTTGCGATAACATGTTGAATAGGTATTTCAATTCTCGATCCAAAACTGTCTATTTATCCGATCAGACGTTCCTGTGCAGTTTCACATTCGTTTCAAGGTTCAGCAATCACACAATAAATTTCATAGTTCAAATAAAAAACGTGATCAAACTCATTTCAGTTAAATCCAATGAATGTTTAGAATTTTCACCATTCACTATCTGATAATAATGAAGTTAGTTTACATTATGGAATATTTCTGGGGTAATTTAGTTAGAAGCACCTCTTACTCTGATCATGAGCCTTAAAATAGACAGAAGTTGTACACTTCAGATTTCACGAATCCCCACAAAAAATCTAACGGAGTCATATCAGGTAATCAACCGTTTTAGATAATGGACATCTTGCTGAAATGTAACATCAGTAGGAAACTCATTTGGGTTAGTCAATTATCCAAACATGCATGTAGACATGCAGACGTGATTTCTCAAAAGAGCCCACTAGATCACCCTGACATGACGTCCCTAGATGTTTTTGAAGAGATACGTGAAATCTTGAGTGTACGATACATAATTGAGGTATTTGTAACTGAATTACTGCAGGACATTTCATAATTTATTGGAAATACATTTGTACATTTTTTCTTGAACATATGATATTTATCGTTTGTTTGAAGATTCTTAAAATAAATATAAGACTGCTGAATACTCGGAAACAACAATGAAGAATATTGGATAGAAAATTGAAATACCTATCAAAAGAGGTATCACAAGACCCTGTATCAATTGAAAAAAATGGTAGCGCTCTCTCGGCGACGACTGATGAAACACTATTGTCGTTCTTGACAAAAAATCAAGAGGTAGCGACTATTCACGTCCGCGCTATAAATCATATTTTGAAAAACATATGCCTGAAAATCACATATTTCACTAAGCTATGAAGCAATGCCTGCAATTCATTCTGCAAGAATAGTTCCATTTCCATTATTGTATGAAAACATCAGTTGAGCTGATTATCCTAGAGAATAGAATTATCCGAAGTAATCGTTTCTAAGACTAGATGGTGTATAAAAATCATTAGATCTTCAGAGTTCAGATATTTTTGCCACTTCATTGGGAAAATACAAGTTTTCAAGACTTCTTCTAAAAAACAAGCTAATTTTCAATTTACCTAAATTAAAACTTCATATAGGTGAGGTACTTGTATAAAGAATAAATAGTACAAACCTTAACTAACACGCTAAGAGAATATTGACAGTAGAGTTGAATAATGTTCGATTTTGTTATATTTTCAGGAAAGCATTGACTCCCAAATGGTTTATATTCCCAAAACAAGTACTTACCCAAACACAAGGACTGTGATACTCTTCTTGAGAAGACTAAATCCAGGGATATCGACGATAAATAGGCTGCTCAAGGTGATCCGTTGCAAAGTCAAGCTATAAAATCTATGGGATCATTGAGATGAGTCCAAATGCATTCGCTGTTTTATCTAGTACAAGTGATGACAGCTATGGCGATTCAAAACGGTGCCCGAGTGCTTTCTTTTAGGGCTCTAGTTTGATTTAGTTGCCTTGCAGAGAAAGAATCTCGTTTTTGCGAAGGATCGCCTTTGGAAGCCTCGAAGTCATTGACATTCGTTAATGAAGTCTTTAGTTTGTTCTCATAAGTGACGTTTATGCAAGGAGGGAAGTTATCGCTTCTACATACTCAGATCTGTTTTTTAAAGTTTAGTTCAGCAATGCATTCGTCTTTAAGCCTAGCTTCACTGATAGGACCTATGATTGAATCGAAACAGTACTGCCTGGTGTTAGATCACGAATACTTTGTCATCGCCCAATATGAAACATCTTAGACGCATCTGTAGTGGTATTTTGAAGATCACTTTCAGCTAAACATACAAAAAAAGTACAAAGGGCAATAAATCTTTTTCAGCTAGGGCCATTCAATGCTATTCTGATTTCGCAATATGGAAAATATTGATCTAGACACTGATGAATAGCAAACCTTAATTTGGAGGAGAAAGGAAAACCGTCATGTTGAAACATCTATTCTTCATCGTACTCTTGAGGTGTACTTCCTAACCAACTGGTTCCCCTTGAAGATGATAAACTTCAAGCTGGAAGTTTTTGGACTGAAAGATTTATTCATCTACACAGTAAAAGACCGCCAAGCATTAGAAATTATGAATGAAATAGTTTAGAAATATTATAATGAATATGCAATACATTTTGTATCCGCATTGGAGAAATGCGAATACAAAATTTCAGTTGAGTGCTGCTCTGATCAGCGGTTTTCAAACTTTTGAAAAACAAACTTACTCTACTTATACAATTTGTCAAGCTTTCATAAACGAGTAGAGACTTCTTCAGGACACCAAAATCAAAACTCAATAAAAAAGAGCTCAAAAAATGGACAATTCTTACAAATTTACAAAATTCATACATTGACGTTGGTGGTTTCAATCTTTCGATTTTCTCAAAAGAAGCAGAGAAATACGAACGAAGTTCTGGAATTATCATTTTATCAAAAATTTAAAGGTTTACCATATATCTATCCAATTCAGTTCACGCTGTTTATATTCAAGTTCTTTATCCCGCTGGTCCAATGATGGGAAGACTCATGGCATCTGTGATTACTCAGAAGAAGACAGCAGTGGCGAATATAGCATTAACAGCTACAACATTAGATCTTTTGGGTTGAAAAATATTGGCAACACCTGTTTCATGAACAGTGTAATCCAATGTTTATCAGACACGATGTGTTTACTGGAATATTTAAAATAGCTGAATACATGAAATATATCAGTACTAGTATTTCCAGTATGGGGGGTGCTTTAATCAAAACTTTCGCATAAGTTACCAAGGAATCGGGGTCAGAAGATTATATGGAGTAGTGACCAGTTTCCTTGAAAAGTCGGATTCAAAGTTTTGCCCCTCGATTCATGGGTCATGCGCATCAAGATGTCCAAGAGCTCCTCCGTTATCTTTTAGAAGGTTTACATGATGAATTTGATATAATTAATAGCAAACCTAAGCCGATGTTAACGGAGATTAACGAGAAATTGAGCGATAGCCACAAATCACAAGAGTCATGGCCGAGTTATTTGAGTTTATTTGACTCTACGATTGTATATAATTTCGTTGGTTAATTGAAATCCACGATGATGTGCACACACTGTGGACACTCATCAGTAACCTTTGATCCAACTGAGTTTTGTCACAATGCTTGGCTTCCTTAACAAGATAGGAAACTCAAAAACCGACGTGTTCGAGTTGCAAGAAAAGAAGAAAACGCACAAAGTCCCTATCAATCCATAAGTTTCCCTGTATTTTAGTAATACGTTTCAAAAGATTATCTTTAACGGAAAGATTTATAAGAAAAGTAAATGTTGTCATCGAATTTACTCTAGCTAGATGGATTAGATATGATCACTTATGCAACAGACAATGTGGCTCTTTGTCGTTATAATCTATATGCACTTTCTAGTCACAATGGGACTACTTACTGCGGGCATCATACTGAAGACACCCCTACACTGGCACGTATAGTATGGTTCACATGTGTCACCAATTTCACCAAAATCGTCTGTGAGTGGAGAGGCATACCTTGTCTTTAATGAAAAGGAAGAAACGATTTTGCACTTCTGAGATACCTTGGAGAAAGCTTCTTTTAGCATATTTCTTTCTGGATTTAAACGTTTCGTCAAATTACATTTTTTGTTCTGTTTCAACAAATTGTTGTGTTAGGGCATAGACATTTTTGTTTATTCGTGTCACTTTCATGTTGACTTCCTCTACTCGATAATGTACTGGAGGTTGTTTCAATATACCTCATATCACATATATTGCAATGTATATTATAGACATTAGATTTTTTCAAATCAGTTATAGAATCTTTTAAATGTCTTTCAAGGTTTCCTTTAACATTAATATTCCATTTTGAAATTTTGGTAATATTTTATTTCTGAAAAACGTCAATTATGCTGGGTGATGAGTTTGCAATATTAGGAAACGAATTAAATTCGATTCTTTCATATACCTGACCACTAACAATATTATGTATACTACTAGTTTATTTCTTACTATTGATGTTAAAAATAATTTTGTTTGGAAAATAACTTTCAATCAACACATTTTCCCATAAAGTATTTTTTTGCTTCAGTGAACAATGAACTAGTTTCTCGATTTAATTTTTCAAAGAATTGAATTTGTTTTCAATGATTTATGATACAATGAATAATTGACCGAAAATACACTAACTTCCTCACTACTGCAATCACCTACAGTCATTAATCTGAAATTCGTTTATATACATGATAGATTTTCATTCAACGCAGCCTGTCAATGAAAAACAAGTACCTTGAGACCCTCATAGTTAGTAAGGCAAGTTATGTTAATGCAAATATTTATAAAAACTCATAACTTTTCTAATCATCCAGTTTAATATCTGATTCAGAGGCATCAAACTTATATGTACTTCACTGAGCTGGAGCCGAACACCTAAAATACATCTTTCTCCAATTACAATCATAACAAACCAAACGAAAAGGGCAAAAAACCGAGGACTACAATTTTATCTGGATGAAAAATAAAACAGTAACATATGATAATTCTTTTATAATAATCTACATAACTTTTACTTTTTATTCACAACAACATGACCAAGGTCAAATTTTCCTCTAACGCACTTGATTTTGACACCAGGACAATCTTGCACTCTTCCCACTCTGCAAAGGACTATGTTGTGTTCCTGTAAGAGATAAGAATTTATTAATACAGTTTTACTCAAAAGAAATGAATAGTCAACGCACTCGTATTTCAATGGTAGAAGTGGAATACTTCAAAAGTAATTGTGAGAGATTAAAATCATTAAACTCATATTTTTTATTCCTTGCCTCCTTCAAAGGATAAGTCAGGAGTATCATAAAGACTGAACTGACAGTCGGGTAAAATCTTCCTGGAGCAAAAATAAAAGATCTCAAAATATCCTGTGATGCTTCAAAATCGATAAGAGTCATGAACTCATAATTAAATCAAAGGTTTCCATTAAGGCAAGTTTCTCTACTTCGCGAGTAGTCCAGAATCGTCAAAATGTGCCTGAATGCTTAATTTTCATAGATGTGATTGGTATTCCTGATCAAGTCAATTAAACGCCTTGTATGTCCAGTTCATATAAAGCTTTAAACCAGGCATGCCTTGTTCAGTTTTTTCTGGTGAAATTGTATTGAACTGAAAAAGACTTTCAATCTACAGGTCAATTTGATGATCCACAAACTTATGTAATAGAGTTAGAAATAAACCAGATGTCAAAAAAATTTCAAATGCGTCAAATTTATAAAAGCATGGTTGATGAATACAAAAAGAAGGAAATGAATAAATGTACCAGATACAGGGACTTCTGAAAAGTAATGCTAACGTACAGGAAAAGAATACAAAAAAAGCAGCTATAAATGTGAACAGTGAACAGAGAAAAAAAGAGAACGACGATTGGGATATCTCGCAATTTCAGATAAAACAAATCGCTTGATTACAATCAAACATAGATCCTATACAAGATAACGCAATGAATTGAGAGATCACGAGAAGCGAGACATATGACACGGAACATTCATACAGTAAAGGATATGAAAAATAGATGTCCAGTTCTCATTTGATTATTATCACGGTATGGGAATATTAAAACAGTACATCAGATCAACATCCAATTTGGTATTTTGTGTTATTTTTTTATGTAATGTTTTTTTATGTATGTTATAATTTTTGGGACATAAACGTTTAGGTTTTCTACGTCTCCATCTTAATAGATAAAATGGTGGAAACCTCTAAAGAAAGGAAAAAATCAATTAATTTCGAAATGAACTCTTGTAATGTTATCCAGATTGATGTTGACGAGTGATGAGTGTTCCATGTAAGTACAATTTTATCTCTTTCATATACAATTTTGTGCAGCAATCCTGTGAATGATATCTGTTTCAATTCCATAATGAATATTTGGGCATTCAAACTGAATAGGAAGTGTTTTGTGTATAATGTGTATAACAAATCTTTGTAAAAGATTTATTTAGAAATTAATTGCTTTCTTCCTTTATTTGGAAGATTTACACTTTTTTATATGAAGATAGAGAAGTAGAAAGCCAAAAACTTTATTTCCCAAAAATGTATCTCTCCTAAAAATATACCACTTTCGACTTTATGTTATTTCATATAGTTGAGTATAATGTACTAGGGAACAATTTAGTAAGCTTTCTAAATCAATTGGGATTTTGAATATTTATATTGTATCGCCAATGTAGCTTAAATTTCCAAAGTAAATATTGAAAATTACCTGCAAATTGTGCCCAATTCCTGGCACATATGCCACCATTTCCTTTCCATTTGATAATCTAACTAAAACACACTTTCTGTTGGCTGAATTTGGTTTCTTTGGTTTTTTTATGAGGGTTTTCAGTACTACCCCTTTCATGAAAGGATTACCATCTAAGGCTTGGCGTGCGGGCCTCGTTTTGACATGTGGTCCCGTTTTATGCATTTGGTATAAAGAAGCCATTGACCTTTCTGAAAAAAAAAAGAAGGAAATATATCCGAGACAATTGACTAAATCTCAAATGATCCCAAAAAAACTATGAAAAGCACAACACGATGGTAACGCATCGAAAAATTGTGAATGTAACCAAAAACTATGAACTATGTATGTAACTACGTATAACTAACTATAGCGTCAATATGATTTGAATATGTTGAACTTGTATTCTTATTTACAGAACTCATATGATGTTCCTGGATTCGATTCCTAAATGTTCTGCCAGTTTGACCAATATATAACTTGTGGCACGTTCCACACTTTATATACTCCTGATTTCTCGAATTTCGATGTTTTTTTTGTTATTTTCAACTAACTTTCCCAGCGTATCACTTGTTTTATATGCAATTTTAATATCTCGTTTGATCAAAAATGAAGCCACTTCTTCCATTGTTTGTCCAAAATACGTTGAAGCTCTATAATTTTGATTTTAATTATCTAACTTATCAATAGGAAAAACGTCTCGAATCGCTTTTGCTTAGACTTTTTTGGAAAGTATTTTGTTTATTTCATACTCAAAATAATATTGAAAATTATTGTTTATAAAGTAGCAAAAGATTTTTCAATTGGAACTTATGTTTTTTCATTTTATTTATTGTATTCAACATTGGAAGTAATGTTTGAATATGTTTGACTTTCTATTTCACAACAACGCGGAGGAATTTGTGCAAACTACCTGAATGGAAGTAAGTAGTAAGTTGCTTGTGCCAAAAACACGTATGCCGTGAAATATTAAATTTCATTAAATAGTTTCCTAGTGCTGCAGGTTTATCCTGCAGCTGAAAAAGCAAATGCGCCACTGGAATCAATGAAGTCGCTCCGGAGCGCCAATTAATTTTTATTGTTGTTTTTATTTTTATCGTTGTTTTAATAAAACTTAAATGCAATTTTATACAAGTTTCGTAGCTCAGCCGATCATATTAAATTGTTAACCACAAAAAACTTTCCTGGCTCAACAGACTGTCTTGAATTTATCATCACAAGAAATAACCTTTCTAGCTCAGCTAACTGTCTTTCAAATTGTGTGTCCTTAAAATATGTTCTCATTTTGACTACCTATCTCAAAATGTGTCAAAGCTATTTTCCAATATTTAACTCTTATCTTGAATTGTTTACCACAAACATACTTTCCCAGTTCTATAGGCAGTTCTACATTTTTAACCATATTTTTATGGTTAGCAATTTAAGATAGTCGGCTGACCTGATGCAGTATTCATGTGATTATCAAATAAAAATAGTTGGCTGAGATAGGAAGTTATTTTTACAGTTGACTTTCGAGGCAGAATGCTAGGCTGATAATCCAAAACAGTTTGTTAATTAATGAATATATTCAGTTGAACTAGGGTTAACTTATTGAGACATCAATTTTGTGGATAACAATTCAAACTAAGCTCAAAATTGATTTTTCTAATTTATAGTTTTCCCGACATATTCCTAGTTCATTTGTCAACCGTGAATTGTTAATCACAAAAATATGTTTTTAGTTCATCTGATCTGTTCTAACCCTAAGCGGGGCGTTTTCTTTTGTTCAAAATTGGCTTTTGGAAGGGACACACTCCAAAATTGAAGGTCGACTCTCTTTCAGTTGTATTGCCAATTGCATATGCAGGAAATTTTCTGTGAAGATTCCTGCACTGACGCCTGTCGGATATAATCCAACGCCCTTCGTGGTATTAGACAGGGGAGTAGTTGCTTTCTGATAGGCGTCAGTCCATTCAACCTACTGTGTAGGTAAATTCGAGACTGGCTTGAACGTTTAAAGTTCATTTCTTTAGATTTTTTTACTGCCAGTCTTCAAGCATAGCCCTGACTAATGAAAAAGAACATTTTTTTCTTTGCCATATGCGGTCGTTTCTTTGCAATTTCGGCCTTCAAACCTTCCAATAACGCTATATAATACTCACTGTTGATGGTATTTCCTTTCTCAGAATAGTCGATGAATATTACACCACGCACATTTCAAAATACCGAGGCCATAACCTTTCCAGCCAATTGTAGTGCTTTCGGGTGCTTTGGACGAAGTGAAGTGATGGATCCATGTTTAATCCGTTGTCACATATCGACGCAAACATTTCAGTTTGTTATGTTTAAACATGGCCAAACACTGCTCAGAATTATCAAGATGTGTTTGTTTTTGGTCAAGAGTGAGCTCGCGTAGCACCCACCCACTTTGAACAGAGCTTTCTCATTGTCAAAGGCTCATGCAATATAAAGCCAATAGCTTCTCTTGATATCTTTCCAATGTCAGCTAACTCAGGCAACTTCACTTTTCGATCATTCAAAACGATTTTGTGAATTTTTTTCATGTTTTCTACATAATTTGGACGTTCTGAATCATTGGTATTTCCACGACAATGTTTGCAGTCACTCTTAGCACAATAACTCACAAACTAGCTGAAAAAGCGGTGGATGCAATAAGACTATCGCCATCTGTTTGCTAGGCCCGAGACTTTTCAGCCCATGTATACAGGCCGTTTCTTTTATCATGTGGTAACATTGCTATATTCTAAACCGTAACAGATACGAAGACGATTAAATGGGAAAAAAGGTAACTGTCATCGGGAACAATACAATGGTCGAATTGACTGGGAGATTGGTGAGTTATTTTGAATTTTCCGAATGGAATTGAAAAATCATTCTTTTGTCTTGTATTGAAACTATGATTTTGTTTGTTCCTCATATAAATTTCATCTTTATTGACGAATACTAGCATACTCTACTCTGATATGACTAGACATGGTAATGTTACTATTTTCAGTCTCTTGAATATATCTTTGCATGAATCAGTCTGTGAAAGCCCCGTCATTGATCGTAAAATTCGTTTTTGTGCCACGAAGGTATCTTTTGCTAGGGTACATAAACCCCAAAATATCACACCGTATCGTAGCCTACTTTCAACTTGTGCATAGTAGAGCTGTATCAATTGATCAAATATTGAGTACATGCCGCAAATTTCTGAATTGAAAGGCAATCGAATTCAACTTTGAGATTAGGTAATGGGAGTGAGCCTTCCAATTGAGATTTTTATCTATTCGTAATCCTAAGAAAATTGTTTGATCCGAACTAGTTGAGATCAATGGATTCGATTCGTTTGATCGGAATGACAACTCATTACATTCTTTTTGGATATGGTGTAACCTCAGCGCTTGCGTTTTCGAAGTATTTAAAAACAAGTAATTTGCTGAAAACCATTCATTCAAAGAAGTCAACACTTCATTGCATTTATCACGCAAGGAAGGGTCCATTTTTTCAGATATGATTAACGACGTATCATCAGCGTACATTGTGAAGGATGCAGTTACAGAAAGTTTATCCAAATCATTAATATAGAACAGGAACAGAATTAGGGTCCTCTTCGAGGACCGTAGACTACTACTCGATTTAAAAAAACGTTGAGTGAACTTATTGAAAAATGCGAAATCATTTGATGTTCGCATCAAGTTTCTTCACATTCGTGTCGAAAACTGATAAAATAAAACAAACGATACTCCTTGAGATCAACTGTGATCACTCATCTGCGACGCTTTCCACATCATTGAACAATTTTCTCATATCCATGAGAAATTTACGTTGGTACGGAATGCATTTGCGACTTTTTTTAGGTAAATTGCGACGCTGAATGATGACAGCATTTCAAGTAACGGTCTGAAATATATTTTCCAAACCTTGGACGATATCTATAATATGAAATGTTATTTTGAGAGTACAATTTCGTGGATAGTTGTGTTCGTGAGAATACAGGAAAATTTGTCACAGTTTCAGAGACAGATCGTTCTGAAGATTCATAAAAGTGTAACAGTTTTTTATGAATTTAGGTCATAATGAAAATATTTATATTCCATAGTAACAATTTACAAAAACGTTAGCGTCGACCCAAAATTTCTAAAGAATATATGAAAGTAGATCAACAAAAAATTCACTCACGTGTAATAAAGAAAAAACTGAGAGAAAGATTTCAAATGTGTTAACTCCTTTTTGAGACAATGGAAGTTCTAACTTGAAACATTTTTCAGAATTTATCATGAGACATTGAACAAAAACGCTTGATTTTGAAAGCGAGCCAACTCTCTTAATATTAGAATGTTTACCGATTCCAATATCATCAAAAATTGAGTGGTCTTTCATATATAATGGAAAAAAATGTTTAACCATTTGCCAATTGAGACAAAGGCATAACATGTACCTACCACTGAATTTAGAAAGTCTGTAAAAAAGCTTCTAATTTCAAAGGCCTATTATTCTTTAGACGAGTTCTATTCCGACAGAAATTTAATTTGAATAAACAATTATTTTTATTATTGTGTTTCAGTACCTACTGGTATGTGACTTTTCAACTTTTTGTTTGATGTTTACATTTGGCTCTGAACTGTATAGTTGAAAATGTTTACGAAGTAGATATAGTCGAAGTAACTGGTATTGGCATACTTAAAGTGTCGGCGCCCTTAAAGGTCAAAAAAACCAATACAAAAAAATAAAGTCGCTGCCAACTAGTCCACGTGGACTGAAGAATCGGCGGTTCCTATTGGATGACTTTTACTAACCGAGTTTTATGATTGGCTGAAGACTCATAAAATTAAATTCTGAAGTCATGTTACGGTGACGATTAGAATGCGAGCCATCGTGTTGTCAATGTTCAGTTCAGGAACTGATCGCGATTTGAGTGTTGACATTCGATATTGGTGCAGTTATAATTACTTACAATTTTCTTCATCTGTTCAAAATGTGGTATCCTTGGACAAGTACTAATAGTAATAACGAGTGTGATAACAAAGCAGTCTTATTCCTGTGTAGTGATTCCAATAGCGATGGTGAACAATGCGGAAAAGAGATACCAGTGAATAAGATTCGAATGCATTTGAATATTGAAACACAGAAAGAATCTACATCTCAAGTTTGGTTTCGAGGGAAAGAAACTATTACAAGCAACATGAGATCTGACCGAAATTCCTTTCTCAACTGAAAGTAAAATAGTCAA